AAGTTCCTTCCCTCTGCCACCTCCTTCAGACCACGTTCTGTCATTCACTTGCTTAAGCCCGCTAGGTATGCCACGCGTTGTTTTCCCTTGTCTCTCTTTCCCTCTATTCAACCTGTGAGTATCAGATTCTTCAGGCCCTCTTTCCTCATTATGTGTCCCAGAAACTTCAGCTGTCTCTTCCTAGTGTTAAGTATAAGTCTCTTCATTGTTTGCAGCCTCTCTAAGACCACATCGTTGGTCACACACGTGGTTCATGATATCCTTAGTATCCATCTGTAGAACCCCATATCTGTCGCCTCGAGTCTCTTCTTCATCAGGGCTGCCATAACACGTCCGAACGAAAAGTTGAAAAGTAAAAAGTGGATGATTTTGTCCTTTCCCGAATTGGGGGTCATAAAATCGCGCAAGTGACCAAAAACTCTTTCCTGTTACTTTATTATTTGCATTATGGTAAATGATTTTTTTTATTCTTTATTATTACTTTACTTAGAAAAAAAGTTTATGTCTAACTCTAAGAAAAAACGTTTAGAATTTTTCTTTGATTTTATTTCGAAACGTAATGAATTATTATTCATTTCCATTTATTTAACTCACTCCACCACTACCACCCGCTACGGGGAGCAAACAAAACGAGGAATATAAATGTATCCTTCTATAGAACCACATCTCCGTCGCCACGAGTCTCTTCATCTTTGAGGAGACCGTCCAACATTCGCTGCCGTAAAGAAGGACAGATGTCACGTAACAGCTCAGTATTCTTTTCTTTGTTACCAAAGAAATCCTCCTGCCTCGCAATAATCTGCCCAGCTTTTGGAATGTGTCCTTGGCCATTAACTCCTTTAACGAAGTCAAGATTCCGGTTAAATAACTCAAGATTTGAAGCTTCATTATTTGACATTTTCTTTACTCCAATATTCTGTCTGTCAGTTACTTTCAGCCTGTCTATGGGACGAGGCTGCCGTAGAGCTGTCAATTGAATAGATTTCCCGAGACTGCATGGGGTGATTGTTTATATAACTACATGCATTACAAAATCCTTCCCACGCTTTTCACACTAGACAACTGGAACTAAACCCAGCTCTCCCCACATCACGGTGCACCCGGCTTCCTTGATGTCTTATGTGAATTACGTACAATGACTGTTCTGGGCTCATATACACACTCCTATACAGTGTTGTCATTTAATTAATCAAAATCTCTTTTCCTGTCCTGCTTCCTTTATTCTCCAAACCGTTTTTTTTCATTATGATCATCAGAAATTTAAGCTGTTCCTTTCTTATTCTAAGTAGCCTTTTCTTTCCCTTTTCCCTAAAACTTCCTTATTTCTTACATACTCCATCCATGGTATTCTCAGTATCATTCTGTTGAACTGTATCTCTGTTGATTCAAGTTCCCTTTCATCTGTGAAGAAACAGTTCACTGCCAATATAGGAGGTCTAATATTCTTATTTAAGAGGTGTGTCTCCTCAGGATATAGGTGATAATGGCTCTCCACAACTTCTTGTCAGATATAGCTCTTAATAAGTTGTGTCATTTCGTTATTTCTCCTAAACTCTGTTCCACCATTCATTTACTCAAGGTCGTCAAGTTATGTTATGCGATGATTTCCTCTGTCGCTCTCGACTTCAGTCCGTCCTGTGAGTGTCAGATTTTCCAAGACCTCATTCCTCATTTTGTTCCCCGGAAATTTCAGCTGTTTATTTTTTTGTCCCTGATGTTAAGTTTAAGTTTACATTTTCTTTACATTTGCTTTAAAACTTCGTCGCTGCTCACATGTTCGGTCTATGGTATACTCAGTATCCTTCTGTAAAACCACATTTCTATTGCTTCAAGTCTCTTCTTCATCTTTGAGATTGTCCAGAATTCACTGTCATATAGGAGGACAGATATTCCATAACAGTTCAGTACTCTTTTCTTTGTTTCTAACAAAGTTTTTTTTTCTGTCTCTTGGAATGCATCTTTAGATATCCTAATGCATTTTCTGATTAGTGATGAAGTTTTATGAAACATTCAGTTGTTTCTAATAAATTTCTCCTGCTTCTTGGATTTTTTTTATTTATCTCTAGGGACGCAGCATTGTTATTCCGATGCGCCTTCGCGTTTCTGCCAGTAATACATACTGATAAATAAATTAAAATGTGGCGTCTATTTCAAATAAGAAACGCCCCTAAAATTACATTTGAAGTACAATATATATATATATATATATATATATATATATATATATATACCTTCAAGTCGTCTGAAGATCTTGTGGGCATGAAACTCTGTTTACAACTAGAGCCATCATTTCATAGGATTTAACACTGGTGTTTTTTGCTCGATCTAGGCAATCTCAGCTTCGATTCGAGCATTTAACTGACTAGGTAAGTTTGCCTTTAGGTCTTTTTTTCTCTTTTCTTTTCAGCATTGTCGTTTTTATTTGAGAGTATATTTGGATAGGGGTTTTAGGCTTTGGAAATTTGTCCATTGTTTCCATCAACGGTTTTTGTTTTTCTTTAACATCTATCTATCTATCTATCTATCTATCAATCTATCTATCTATCTATCAAAGAACGAATATTTTCTGGGAAAATTTCTCGGACATTCAGGCCGGTAAATGTTGTTTAATACTGTTTATTATAAACAGAGCATTTACTTAAATATTTGTATCTATTAATAATTATGACGGGTTTATATGATAATAGTAGATGTGATGTGATAGTAATGTTGTAAGGGGATTGGTGGCAATGGTAATAGTATCAGTAGCTAATAGTTATTGTAAATTGGTAGAAGTGATTAGTAATGGTGGTGGGAGAATAATAAAAACAATAAATGTAATTATTGTGGTAGTAGCTTGAACTAAAAAGTGATTGTTGGTGTTTTATTTTATTTTGTTATATATATTAATTTATTTTGGTATAAATCCTGATAATAGGTATTCTGTGTAAAATTATAATAGTTGAAAATTGCTATAATTTTTATTTTTAATTTAATTTTTTTTTTTTTGTTATTATTTTAAAGCTGGTTATTTGCTTGTTTTTTTGTTTGTTTTTTTATGACTGTGTATATGTGACTGGTAGAAATTTCAGTTTGTAATCCTTATTTGTTATTTTTTATGGTGGTATTAAATATGCTGGGGGAGGGGGTAGTTTACGTTAATAATTATGACGGGTCTATATGATAATAGTAGATATGATGTGATAGTAATGTTGTAAGGGGATTGGTGGCAATGATAATATAAGTGGCTAATAATTATTGTAAATTGGTAGAAGTGATTAGTAATGGTGGTGGGAGAATAATAAAACCAATAAATGTAATTATTGTGGTGCTAGCTTGAACTAAAAAGTGATTGTTGGTGGTTTATTTTATTTATTTCATATATTTATTTATTTATTTTGGTATGAATCCTGGTAATAGGTATTTATTCTCGTGCCTTCATTTGGAAATTATCTCTGATCTTATTAGTTTTATTTGGTGATATTAAATATGCTGGGGGAGTAATTTACGTTAATAATTATAGTGGATTTATATGTTAATAGTAGATGTGATGTGGTAGTAATGGTGTTGGGTGTTGGTGGTAATGATAATATTAGTAGTTAATAGTTATTGTAAAATGGTAGAAGTGATTACTAATGGTGGTGCAATGATAATAACAATAAATGTAATTATTGTGATGGTAGCTTGAACTAAAGAGTGATTGTTGGTGCTTTTTTGTTTTTGTTTTTTTTTTATCCGTTTGGTATAAATTCAGATAATAGGTACTTGTTCTCATGCCTACATTTGGAGATTATCTCTGATTTTAGTAAATTTTTTTGCGGTGTGTGTGATATTATTGCTACTTTTTCGTGTAGGCAAAGTAGGTATTTTTTTTTTGTAATGTTGCTGTAGGCAGGAGCTTTTTTCAATACTTTCCAACTTATTGTTGGTGTGATATTTCAGTCTTTTTGCTGCCATATGTATGTGGATAGTGTAGTTCTGTTCGAGTATTTCCTGTTGGTGAATGAAATGTTGTGAGTGTTATTCCTCTTCTTGAATGGACCTTCAGTGGCACCGATGTAGTACATTATGCTGTTGTTTGCACTTACCTTGGCCTTGTATATTGTGTTCGTAAGTTGGCAATTTCCCTGGAGTGGACATGTTGTTCTATTTCTGCAGTTGCATTTTGGATCCTTGGTTTCATTTTTGTAGGTTGTCATTTTTTTGTTGTGGCTTTTGATTATTTTTGCTATGTTTTTTGTGCAGCTGTAACTGATCTTTACGTTATTTTTGTTGAATATTTTTGCAAATTGGTTTGTTTCAGTGAAGTGCTTTTCTATTAAGTTTAGGAATATCTTGCCTATGTTCGTTTTAACGGTTTTGTTGCATGGTGAATTAAACCATATAATATTTCTTTTTCTGTTTTTGCGTTTTGGCTGTGGAGGTTTATATTGTAGTTGTTGTGTGTAACCACTTGCATTTAGTGCTTCGTTGTATTTTTTTTTTTTTTTTGTTATTGAAAATGTGTACGTTAGATGAGTTCTCAGATAGTCAGCGGCTGATTGATATTGGTATCTGTTTGATGATTGAAGGTGGGTGGTTGGAGGATGTGTGTACGTAAGTTGGGGTGTCATTTTCTTTTTTGTACGGTTCGTATGTGTTGTTGTTCAGGTTAAGTGTGACGTCAAGGAAATTTCCTGTTGTTGTATCTGCGTTTATCTCTATTTTGAATCCAATATTTTTTAAGGCGTTCACTATTTTCTTCCTGAATTTGTCTAATTTGGGACCATTGGATTCTCTTATTAAGATAAGACCGTCATCTCTGTATAATCCCGTGTCCTTTCTCTCCAGGATTATATATATATATATATATATATATATATATATATATATATATATATATATATTTTATTTTTATTACAAGCTATTATAATAAAAACATTTAAAATGGCTGCACAAAAGCTTTCATGTTTCAATATTATGATTGTACTTCCACAAATGATGCTACGAACTGTGGATTATTACTCCATTTGTTCTTTCTCTTATTTGCAGATAGATAGATAGATAGATAGATAGATAGATAGATAGATAGATAGATAGATATAAACTATGTTACTTTTTAGGTTAAAAGTGCTCACAATCAGTGATAGGGTGTTTGTAAATATACAAGCCGACACTGAAGAGAAAACCAAGTGGCTACAGTCTGTTTCATGCGTTAACGCAATTTTCAGGCCTGTAGATTGCGTTCAAGCATGAAACAGACGGTCGACACTTGGTGATGACCTCAGTGTCCACTTACAAAGATTGCGATGTGTCGTAAAAAAATATATGACATCAAAAAAGCAATAAGATATCGTAAAACTAGTGATCGATGCGAACACAATATTGCCACAATGGAACAATGGAAACTGTAAAAGAGTCGAACTGAGATTATAAAGCAATCCAGATAGTAATTGAAAACATTAACATGACAAGAACAAAATAAAATGGCGTAAGAAATGGAGACGGCAAAATTAAAATAGTAATAAGCAAGAAAATTAGATTTGGCCAGCAAGAAAATATACGAGGCAGCTGATGTTTCAAATGTAAACAGAGTGAAAAGATACAGGATATTAAGAACATTTGGCTAAAGACACAAAAGCAACCAAACTACCATCTTTAAGTAAACTTCACAAAGAGAAACGTGTAAGTTGAGAGAAATACATAGAAACTAATTTTAAAACAGTATTTTTTAACGACGGCTAATGGATGGACCTGACGGGTGGCTTCCATCATTGAAATAGTCAATGCGATTTAGAAAACAACAGTCGGGCGGTAGAATAAGGTTTCGGGCTGCTAATGGGGAAATAAAACTTGATGATGGTACAATATAAATGCCTGGAATTATTCTTCTCGGCAGAGTTTTCTTTTGGTCTACAGGTCACAATCAAGAAATTTAACTATAGCCTATATTTAATACAACGCTCCTTTATATTCTGCAAAAACGATGATTACTCACCTTGAACCGAAACATTTCATCGTCACCAATTTAATGGAGCAATCCGATCATGGCTCTCCACAGTTTCCTCTTTTTATCTGTCTATATTTCAAGGACACGTGGCTCGGTGGACAAAAGCGTTCGTTGCATCCAATGACCTGACTCAAAGAGTTGTGAGTTCAATACCTGGCTACGGCAGTGGAGAAAAAAATCTTGGAGTTAAAGGGAGATAACTGAGACGTCCGAAAGAGGTATGGCACGTGGAACTAGAAAAATCTAGCCGCCCCACCCCCGGTGGACGAAATAAAGGGTTCAGTTTGAAATTCCAATCACCTGAAGAAGGCCGGAGCATACAACGGCTGAAACGTCATGAACATGAAAAGGCGAGGACAACAGTCCGAACAATGTAAATAATATAAATTATTATTCTTTTTTTTCTAGCTCCTAATAAATTTTGTCTTTTTGTTATTTCTTTTCTAATCCTTATTTTGCCAAACATTTTACAAGATCATTATGCTCTACATTTGATAAGATTGTCCAGCATTCTCTGCCATATAGAAGTACCAATATTATATCTGTTCTCTGGGACTCTGAACTCAGAATATACCATTAATTTTAACATAACAAACCAGGATGTTTCAGAGATATTTTACTCTATTTCAGTTTCTCATTTTTATACTTTTTTGTTTATTTTACTTATTGTTTTACTGTCTTATCATGTAATGCCATCTGACAAAACAATACCTAGAAAGCTAAATAAACTCTACTGAAAAGGATATGAAAATTGGTAGAGTCAATGACTGGGCCTCTTGGAAATCTGATCTACCAGGCAACCTCAAGCGGAGTTTCTTTCGAGCCAATGTAGAGGCGGTATTAGTGTATGCGTGGACATTAACTAAAACCCTAGAGTTTAAGCTTGATGAAATTTACACTCGAATGCTGAGAACTATACTTAACTTGTCTTGGAGACAATATTCAACTAAATCACAGCTCTATAGACACATCCCTGATATTTCTACAATCGTACACGAATGCAGATTGCGCTTTGCAGGACACTGCTAGCGAGCAAAGCAAGAGCCTGCGAGTGATATACTGCTCTGGATACCTAGCCACGGAACAAGACAGACTGGTCACCCATCAACCGCCTACATTAAACCACTATGTAATGACATAGAAAGCCGCACTAAAGACCTTCCGATCTTGATGCAGGAAAGTGATGGTTGGCGTAACAAACTCAGGAATGTCTGAGTAACTCGATCGAATAATATAATTTATTGTCTACACAGAGTTGGTTTATTCGATTTCAATTTCTAATTTTTATGATTTAGTGATTTTACTGACATCTCTTCTTTACCCTAAGCAGTCATGAACCATATTATCAACCTCTTAGATAATTACAGAAAAAAAAGACTACTCTAACTATTGTCAGTGTTGTCGTAATGCGCTCCGACCATTGAAGTAAGCGGCATGAACTCGGAATAGAAAAGTCGCTTTCCCCCGGAAGCTCGTCATTCATGGACGACGCCAGAGCGACATAGGCCACAGAAGTCTATCTCGAGACGTGATAAAAATCTACACTCCTTCCGTCGTCTTTCCACTCTAATTCCCGCACGCTATGTTGTTGCTTTTAACGACCAAGTCATCGGCTTAAATTACCGACAATTCTGAAATAAAGTATTTTCACTATCAACGCTTGGCTGATTGTTTTCTTCATCTTATTGCTACTTTTTTTTGTTTTTTTTTTTTTTTTTTGCTACCTTCAAGTTAAAAAAACAACAACTTTAAGATGACGCCGAGCCAAAAATTGATAGTGAAAAGGCTTCAAGTAATAAGTCAGCGTAATTGAGAACCAAGACTAACATTACCTTTCTTCCAACCATACCAGGTTATGTTTTAGCTTTTAAAGTAGCCACTCTTTTTGTTCAGTTCATTTTATCATTAGTAGAGTTTACCCGTGGCATCAAAAAAAGACTATAGTGTGTAATTGGTACATTGTCGACATTTTATATTTTTAAATTCTCGCATTCGCGTTGTTTTTGATTTTGTCGACTGTACAGTATAGTAGGGTCAGTTGGGCACCATCTATGAGAAATATAGTACCATGACGCAATTCACTCCGCCAGAAATTTAGAAACGGCATGCTGAACTGCTTCGCATTCGCGTCTGAATCTCCAATACGAAAATTTACGAGTGTTTAGGTGTCAATCCGAAGACAGTGCAGAGGATTCGGAAACAAAATGGTGTTTGGAGTGATTGCTAGTGATGGCGGCGTTATGCCTTCATTCATTTTCCCACAGGGCCTTACAATCAACACGGTAGCCTACATCAAGTACCTTGAGGAGGTAGTGCTGCCCTGGGTGAAGAGGATGACTGTTGGAAGACCGTATGTCTGGCAACAGGATTCTGCGCCACGCTATACATGTAGAAGTACCCAATCGTGGCTGTAAGACAAAAAGAGTTAATTTCTTCGATCACATTGCCTCTTACATCTGACTATCTATCTCCACAGACTGCAACCCCCTTAATTATTATGTGTAGGGCACAGTTGAGCGAGAGATCACCAAAACAGTATGTAATACCCAAGATGAACTGAAGGCAAGGATTATGGCAGCATTCACCTTAAACTTAAGAAACCGTCAAGAAGAGTTGCAGGAGATTCCGAAGTCGACTGGAGGCCGTGGTTGAAGTCAATGGCGATCTTATTGAATAGATTTACTCTTTAGTATTTCAAGTTTTTGTGTAATTTTGGTAAACATATCTGTTAAAATGAGATGTGTTATTTTCATTTTTGCGTAATTTTACTCACAATTTACTCATCGCACCCTGTATATTTAGCCTTTGACTTCTTAAAGAAAAATAATCTATCTGCATTTTCTAGCTTATAGTCAGTACTTCATGAATATTGTGTTCGTTGATTTGTTTTTTTTAAGGCTTATCAAACTGTTTACAGGTAATTAAAAACTAGAAAATATTTTCGGATTGTAATTTATTTTTTTTAGATAATAATGGTTTTGTTATACAAGTCTTACTAATTAAACACATAGTCGAGAAGAAAAGAGGTGGATTTATAACCTTCTCGGGTGTATTTACACGTAAGTGAATATAACGAACCCAGCGGAATTGGAACTCGGCTCTCCGATTCAAAATTTCGAGCCATTATCCATTACATCACCAGCACATCTAAGCTGTTTAATATACGAGGGTAAACTGTTGTTGTTTGCTCATATCGAGGGATATTGTCGAGTTCTTATTTTATTTTGTAGTACTAAGTTATTGTTCGCCAATAAGGCAATGGTTTAGTAAAAGTATCGTTTTGCGAATTTGGTGACATAGTGGCTGTGAGTTCAATCCCTGGGTCGGGAAGTGGCACTTGGAACGTTGTAGTAACGGACTTCATTCTGCGCAGTATCTGATACTCAGCATTCCTTCCTCATAAATATGGCAAAATTTAAACTATATTATTACCCGCTCCTACTAGTATTCAAAACCACACAAATAATACAACTCACACAGTAAAAATATGAAGAGACACTAACACCAAAAACATAACCCCTTGAAAATGGCTAAGGAAGTGGTTGAAAGCGCTTAGGACAATGGATGGTATGAAAAGTTTTCCCCTCCCTCACACCTAACAACCAAGAAATGTAAGAACGCTTGAAAATTTAAATAAAATTTTCCTTGTCCGTCGTATTTAACGAAAGACGTTTAAACGAAACGTTGATGTCCAAATATGCATTAATCTACTTATATGTCTATAGTCCAACGGTTATCGGCGTAAAAATGGCAGTTATTTGGCGGGAGACACGCGCGATTTAGTTCTTGTTATCTACCACTCCTCTTTTATGAGAGATGTATTTTTATGAATCTCCGGCATTTTTATAGAATATATCTAAATAAAATTGCCAATGAAAATTGAATAAAAGTGATAAATCAAAAACCTGCTTTAGGCGAAAATGCCAAAATAAAACACAAATTTGTACTATAAACAGGATCTTTTAAACAAAAAAAAATGTTCATTTCGGTACAACTTAACTGAAATCAGAGAATTTCCTTTGAAAAACATTATTCCTCTTTGACCCGTACAGATAAAATAAGCGTGACAAAGACCATTTGCAGCAACCTGGAGCGGCTAAAATTGAAGATTTCCACAATGTTAGCATCTATGGCGCCAGACGAAGAAATCTGTTCTTTATAAAGAATTCCGAAACTTAACAGGCCCTTTTGTTTCATTCCTTCAAATGAACATAAATTTATAAAATTCTTTCAAAGTTCAAAATAGCTCTCCAAACCAAAGAAAAATAATCTGAACAAAAATATTTACGGATTGCTACAGAATGGGAATAGTTATATCCTAAATCTCTCCATTGCCATGTAATGTCAAACGGCACGTAATAAAAAATCGGGGAGTCGAGTTCGAATTTCAGTCTGATTCGTTATATTAACTTAGAGGCAAATACCCTTGTAAGAGGTAAGAATCCATTTCCTCCCCCCCCCTCCAGCTATTGGTTGAATACTGGGCGTGTGTCTGGAAAAATCACTGTTATTCTTAAAATTAGAATTAGAAATGAATTCTTTTCTTTTTAGTATTTTGTGTGTATTCTATAGAAGAGACATTCTCTTTGCTAGAGTAACAGATGTCCATTTTCTTTTTCAGTACAATGAGACCAAAACAATGGATATAATATATATATATATATATATATATATATATATATATATATATATATATATATATATAAGCGGCCTGAAACATGAAGCAGCCTGTTGCCTCTGAGTGTTGACTTCAATGTTCACTTTTATATTTATACACACACACACACACACATATATATATATATATATATATATATATATATAGATAGATAGATAGATAGATATAAAATAAAGACCGGGAAGTAAGCAACCACAGCGTTAGGAAACTGTTGCCAGGACAGAGTGAAATATAGGAAAAGCAACAGGTAAATCAGACTAAAACTGAGAACAGGTCAGTCTAACAATAGAGAAACACAATAGCATGTGTGGTGGGCTTGGTTTGTTGGTTGGATGGGATAAAAACGGCCATTTGAATTGAAAGCAGGTCGGTAAGATATGGAGAAAAACAAGGGAAAGATATAAGGGTAAAAAAAATAAACTATTGTGACCCTTAAAGATTTAATACCGAACAATTCTTTTATTTAAAGCACGTTTCTTTCTTAACTTGGTGTGCGTGGAAGGGAGAAAAAAGAGAGAGACAGACACAGAGAAAGAGAGATGTGCGCGGTGACGTTTTTCTTTTAGTTTTTTTCTTGTGTATGTGTGTGTGTGTGTGTGTGTGAGAGAGAGAGAGAGAGAGAGAGAGAGAGGCACAACGGCAAGGTTTTCTTTTTAGTTTTTCTTACGTCGGTGTGGGTGTGTGTGCGCACGAGCGATATGTCTCTGCGAATGAGTGGGAGAGGAGAGAGAGAGATGAAGGCCTGTGTGTGCGTGCGAGAGAGAGAGAGAGAGAGAGAGAGGCACAGCGGCAAACTTTTCATTTTAGTTTTTTTTCCGTCGGTGTGGGTGTGCGCGGATGAGCGACATGTCTCTGCGAGAGAGAGAGAGAGAGAGAGAGCAAGAGAGAGAGATGAAGGCGCGTGTTTGTGTGCGTGCGAGAGAGAGGGAGAGAGCGAAAGAGAGCGGGGGAGAATGTGATGCGCGCGCGACGAGGTTTTCCTTTTATTTTTTTCCTTATATCGGTGTCTTTATGTGTGAATGTGTATGTGTGTGTGTGTGTGAGAGAGAGAGAGAGGGGGAGAGAATTACATACATATATATATATATATATATATATATATATATATGATTCATTAAAGTCGACAGACAAGGTTCTACGATTAAGCTTTTTATGCAATTTTTCTTGTGTTCGAACAAGTGTTTTCTTATTTGTACACAGAATGTGTATAAACTTTCCAAATTTTCTCTAATTCAGTATATATATATATATATATATATATATATATATATATATATATATATATGTACGCGGCGGGTGTTTCCTTTAGTTTTGTTCTGTCAAATAATGATTTTTATCATTTCCTGCTCTACTTATCGTTTCGTTGGACTTAGTGGTTGAGTGGTGGCCTGACCCTGTCGTTGTTGTGGGAGCAAGGCTAATGGCATCACCTGTTTGCTTGTACTTCTTTAAATCGGGCAAAAATCTTATTCCACCCCGCCTACACACATACCTCTATTGCTATTATTTCGTCGGCTATCTAGCTACAGTTGTAAAAACAGTGATTATATAGAATCAATTGCCAGGTCTGCTGCTAGGAAAATAGGTTCATTGTTCCGTGCCAGACAATTTTTCCCCTTCGAATCGCATTCATAAATCTACCATTCGTCCCTTCATTGAATATTACTGCCATATCTGGTCTGATATCTCGGGTTTCTTGACAAAATCCAAAGAATGGTCTGTAATTTTATCGGTCCTGTCCTGGCATCTCCACATCAGTAACTTTCGCAACACCTTGACATGGTTTCCCTCTGTCTTTTCTGTAAATACTTTCATGGACAGTGGAGTAATGGATAGCGGCTAGGATTGAGGAATCGGAGAGCCGACATCGAATTCGAGTCGAATCTGTTACATTCACTTACGTGCTAATACCCTTGGGAAAAGTATGAATTCTCTTCTCCCCCCCCCCCCGTAGCTATGGGTAAATAGCAGGACAGACTGGGTTCTGTAACTTTGGATGGCAACTGGTCTAACGCAGAAAGAAATGGCAACCTACTGCGGGCAAAAAAAACCTTACGCGTGCATCACGTATGATACATAACAGACTGACTTTTCTAATGAGATTTCCTCGTTGGTAAATACTTATTGGGACTAGATTTGAAATTGTTGTTTAATTCTCCACCCACCAGACAATAAATTGTACATATGGGGGTTAGCTAGAATTTCCATAGAGACCATGAGGTATTATGGTGAATGCAGTAAGAAAGGAAAATAAGAATAATGTTGTTTTGATGTTAGGAATATTATGGTATGTTTGACTCAGTGTTTGTGGCTAGCTAAGTTTAAAGTTAAGATAGAAAAAGACCGTTCTTTCCCCCGTTTCACATTTTTGGCCTTACGCCACATTTTGTAAATATTTACAAATAAATATCGCTGTTATCCTTGGTACTTAGACTACACGAATTTAAGCTTACTGCTAGATTGGCCATTAGGTCTCATCGTTTTACTGTTAAAATAGCAAGATGTAACCATAATTTTTATTCTAATTGTTTGTTTTTTGTCTCCCTTCCGATTTATTGCTTCCCTGCCATTTACAATCTTCAAAGATTTAAATGCAACATCATTCGCCATCCCCTGTCATCCCGTTCTTTTATTGTCCTTTCTCCTCACTAAGGTCTTCTCATTCTCTTCTACTTCCATTAAGCCACAGCATTTAAGTGGCATTATTCCCTTGCTAGATGAGAAATGATTAAAAAATATTTTCCTTTAACCGCCGTGTCAAATGTAGGTCAGAATATTGTGTTACGCCCATCTTCCAAGTGAGGAGACTCCACCTAGAAAACTCCGACATTCTTTGCTTAACTATTAATGAGAACTTGAGCGTAGCGGCACATTATGATTAATGACTTATTTTTTTTCTCTTGGCCGCATTTTCGAAATTAAAATTTCATCGCGACTCACCAAAAGGAAGTGCTGATAAAAGGCACAAGCAGCCCTACGGTAAAAAAAAAAAATGTTCAGAGTGAGGGTTAAAGGTAGATAACCGCGGATTAGAATTCAGAACATTATCATTGATAGATCTCTCCTTGAATTTTTGGACCCTAGATACTATATTCTTATTATTTGATATAAATCAAAACTATCGCAGTGATATAATCGGTCAATAATTATTTATACCGGGACTCATGCATGCAGTTACAAGTAATCCATAATAATATCTTAAATTTTGAAATCATATCTATTTTTGGCATATGAATTTTTTTTAAACTGTTTCTAAATCTTTGATTGTCTTTCAATCATTCCACCTCACCTGCTATTCTCTTCCGCCTCACCTGCTATTCTCTTCCGCCTCACCTGCTATCCTCTTCCGCCTCACCTGCTATCCTCTTCCTACGTACCTATGAGGCGCTGTTTACGAACCTCTGACCTAGGGCAAGGGAAGATAGCGAACATATGCGTTCTCTTTGCATAAATTAAGATGTTAAGTGATATTTGTTTTTAATTTTTGGCGACTGCTCACTATAGTAGGATCAGTTTGGCACCGTCTTTCAGAAAAAGAGCATTATGTCGCAGTTCACTCGGTCAGAAGTTTCGAAATGGCATACTGTACTGCTTGGCATTCGCGCCAGACGCTCCAATACGCCAATGTCGTAACGCGCTTCGTAGCGCTTAAAATATGAGTAATGCTTCGGCGAATTCCCGTGACGCCTGTATTAATTAGTCTGAAGTCTAACTCCAAACAGCTTCTGGTATTTCGACCTGCAAGCCTGGCAATGAACTGCCTGAATCTAAACGATATTTACCAAACCTCCCCACCAGGGAGAATGTGGTACAAGGCCGGTTTTTATGTGGAGCGATTCCGAGCCCGTAGGCACTGGCAAAAATTCCCCGTAAACCCCGCATACATGGCGTCGGGTTTGTCTACTTCCCCAGACGAGACTGTTCGTTGGCATAGCCACGTCTGAGTTCCTCTCTGTCCGAAGGCAAGAGTTCGACAAGCCTGTCGCGAGCCTGCCAGCGAACTGCTCGACTCGAAACGGCTTCTTTTTCCATCTGACTTCTATCTCTTTATTTCTAGTTATTGACTTGTTCATATAGTCACCGGCGGTGTACTATTCACTCCACTTTGAGATTAATACTTTTTATGCATATTTTTTTAGTGTTAGTTACCCCCCTCCTCTTTCTGGAGAGTTTACCAACGTACTTGACTTTCTAAAGTTTTCGTCTCCGACCACTTCCACTTATTCAGTAATCAGTTTTTCTGGAACGTGTCCCTGTAGGTTCCACTGATTGTTGTGGTGATGGCACATCGAAAACATCATATAGCATTTTTATCTCTTCTTCCAATGTTTCATGTCTTTCATCGATTAACCTTTTTTCAGATGATTATGGTACTTTTTATGTTCAAATCTTTTTTTCCCTTTTACCATGTAAATCAACTTACCTATTCTTGCTGATTTTATGCCGTCTTGCCACGTTTCTTTGGCATCCTTATATGCTCTAAAGAACACTTTATTGTTTTATTGTTATCCGTTCGTGTTTTTCGACTTGGTAATAACTTGTCGAACACCGATTTTACAGCAAACATTAATTCCCCCGGTGACATGGTTGAGGGTGTATCAGGCTTAGGTGTTACACGATAAACTCTCAGAAAATTCTAAAGTGTTTCTTCATTTACTTTCTCAAAACTTGCCTTCTTCAATGTCTTTTTGAACGTTCTCACAAACCGTTCTGCTTGTCTGTTCGAACTTAGATGATATGGCGGGGTCGAAATATGCCCAATGGAGAACATCTTCCAAAAGTCTTCGGATTCTTTACCCGTGAATTGCGTTCCGTTATTATAGACTATCTGGTATTCCACATCTCGCAAAAAAAGTTCATGCAAGAAATTCACTGTTACTGAAGATGTTGGATTTTTGCATTTATAAATTTCCGGTCATCTAGTGAAACTATCAAATACCACAAGATTAATCTATATGCAGTCTTGACCACGGCGTATCTGGCTAAGGTTTTATCTTTGTGATAGGTAAGCACAACTTTTGAAAGCTTTCACTATTTTTTTCAATATCTTGGTCCATCCTGGTTCAATATACGAAACCTCTCATCAGAACATTCATTCTTGAAATACTAGGATGTTCATTATAAAAAAAAAATCCTTCAATATTCGCTTCTGAAACACACTAGGTATTAAAACCTTTTGCCCGATCATTACTACACCGCAGCATACTGAGTAAGCTTTTAAGTCTGGATTTTGTTCTTTGTTTTGGGGATGGGAGGTGTCTTTGTTCAACTGCTTTTTTTTTATTTTCGCAATAAAGGCGCCATGTTCCGCTTTTTTTTATTTCTTCCAGTGTAACTGGTAACTCTCATACTACGTTACACAAAATGTTTTTTTTTTCCATTTCGATTTTTAGCGCTGCAATGACCCTATGGAGGGTTGTAGTCTGTTTGCAACCTAAAATTTCTTCAATGAATAAATGTATGACATTTCTTTACGGCGAATGTAATTTCTAGCGCTTTTTTTCTATCTGGCTATAATTTTTCTCTGCTGGTAGAATTGAACGTGAAACAGAAGCGAAGGCTTTCCTTTTACCGCCATCGTATTTGTGTAAAACCACTACTCCAATACCATACTCACTAGCATCTGGCGCCACTACACACTGTTTATGGATGGTAATGTGTCAATGTTAAATCTGACTTAAGTCCTTTATTTCATCAAACGACTTTTTACAGTTATCATTCCAGTTCTACTCTTTTTAAGTAGATCATTCAGTGGATCTCTCAAATTATGCATGTTATACACATATACAGGGTGACCCGGATATAAGAGAAACCCGGATATAAGAGAAACCCGGATATAAGAGATATTTTCTCTGGTCCCAAATTAGAGCCTGTGTTAATGTATATAAAATAGACCAAACCCGGATATAAGAGAAACCCGGATATAAGAGATATTTTCTCTGGTCCCAAATTAGAGCCTGTGTTAATGTATATAAAATAG